CTAATAATTTCAAGTGTTGGTAAGGATGAAAAGTAAGAAGAATTTTTGTACACTGCTGATGAGAATGTAAATTAATTTAAACACTTTGTAAAACTACAATAACCTACTAAAGTTAAATAGCTAAATATCCTCTGATCCAGAAATTTAATTCTTAGATGTCTACCTAATAGGAACATGTACATATGCAGACCAAAAAACATGCTCAAGAATGTTTGCAGCAGTATTTAGTTTTCTGCAGTACTAGGGACTGAACCCAGGACCTTTTTACCGAGCTTCCCAGTTTTTTCTTATTTTTTTTATTGTGAGACAAGGTCTCACTAAGTTGCATGGGCTAGGGTCAATCTTTCGATCCTCCTGGCTCAGCCTCCCTGAATACTGAGACAGGTGAGTTGCCACCATACCTGCCACAGCAGTGTTTTTCATAATAGCCAAAAACTGTAAACACCCCAAATGTTCATCAGCAGCAAAATGGATAAATTGTGCTATCTCCATGCAATGAAGTACTCACAGCAATGGAAAAAATAGGTATTTCGCTTTATGTATTAACATGGATAATTAACAAGATCATAAAAAGCTAGACACAGAACTCAAAAATAGACAATAGTATATAGTGAATGAAATTAGAGTAAAAGTACCTTTGGGAGTGTGCAATAATGGGGGGTATTGATGAAAATGTTTTATATCTTGTTCTTGATATCAGTTAAATGGATGTTGACTTCAAAAAACTTCATAACGGGACACTCAGGATTTATGCACTTTATTATATCTGCGTTACAATTTAATAAAAAGGCCCTTGATTTTTTTTAAATTTTAATTTTTTGGTTATTTTACCTGCCAGTGAAATTGAAAATTTTAGTAATGTTAGTTCTTACATTAGTCTGCCTCTTACTTGAGTACAAAAAGTCATATATTTACTTCTTTTCTCAGCACAAGTTACTGAAGAACTGTTTGGTGTTTGGATCATAAGAGTGATAGAAAGCGTAGCTTAAAGCCAATATTCACAAATTAAAAAATTCCAACATGGCAAACTTTTCTTCCTTCATGTAAATATGTGATCAATTTTTCTACCTTAAATTCCAGATCAATAGTTCTCACACTCTACATTTGAAAAAAGAAGAAATCTTGAGGCTATGAAAGTTCAAGATGTAAACTTAGCTTTAGCCAGAACTGAAAAGTCTCAAATCAAGGAAATATGTCACCATAAGGTTGTTATGAAAATGAAGTAAATTATTAAATGTAAGGTACTTAGAATATCCTGTCTTGAAGAAAGAAAATGCTCAAAAATGTCTGCAATTATAAATACAATTCTGAGAAACACTATATTAGATATTAATTCTTGAATTTTGATATTATATTAAGTGTATGACACTAAAACCAGGCTCACTGTGTGTGTGTGTGTGTGTGTGTGTGTGCGCATGCGTGCGTGCGTGCATGTGTGCAATGGGGATTGAACTCTGAGCTGCATGTATGCTAGGTAAGCACTCTTCCACTAACCTTAATCCCCAGCCCTTCTTTAAGGTTTTATTTTGAGACAGGTCTTACTAGGTTGGCCAGGCTGGCCTTCAACTTAGGATCCTCCTGCCCTACCTCCAAAGTAGCTGGGATTATAGGAGTATGCCCCCATGCCAGGCCCTCAAACAGTTAAACAGTATTTTTGTGGCGCTAAGGAAACGTAATAAATGTTTAATAAAACTAAGTGAAGTAAACATTATATTAAAAAGAAGTATTGGACAGATGAAAACTTAACAGCAAACACTCAATTTTAAAGTTTTAAACTACTCTAACTGGTATTTATGGGTTTATGATTTTAAAAATTGAGGAGATAATCAGGAATACTACTAATATAAAGACTTTTATTTTTTCAGAGCATTTTTATATGTGAAAGTTATATTTAATTTTATCTCTAAATTAATATAATCAAACCTATTTTGCAAACTATAAGTCATAAATGTATTAAATGCAATAAAAAAATCATAGAACAAGATGTCCACACTGGGGACCACATAGTTAATCATAAAACACACAACAAAAAAGAATTCTGTTCAGTAACAGTACCTTTATATAGTCAAGATATGTGTGAAAGCATTTTGGAAAAAAAATATCAGGATCATAAAGCACATTTTTAAGGGAAGTAAATGGTAAAGTCTAAGTAATTGTAATTGGACATAATTTCCAGGTTTTTGTGTAACTGCTAAAGATGTTTCTTTAAAAATTTCTACTTGGAAATAATTCAAACTTTCAGAAAAGTTGTAAGAATATTTCACTGAACTCCTGTATACCCTTTATTCAGATTCATCAATTGCTAATGCTGTTTCATTTACTTTATTACAAACATACACATATTTTCTGAATCATTTGAGTAGATGAATATATAATGCCCTCTCACTTCTCAATACTTCAATGTATACTAAGAATAGAGACCATATCTTAAGTAACCAGAGTATAATTACTAACTTCAGGAAATTTAACAATTATACAAAATTATGATGTAATGTTTATTTTCTAAACTTTTTCACTGACCAAAAGTGTCCTCCAAGAATTTTTTCCTCTTTCAATACAAGATCTAGTCAAGTCTGGTGTCACTTTTAGCTATCATGTCAACCAAGATCCCTTTAATCTGAAACAGTTTCCCTCCACTACATTTTATGCTATCTTATCTTTATACAATATCATGACATCCTATGAAGTTTTAAAAGTTGAGTTCTTGAAGAAACTATACACAAAAGTTCCATTAACGAAAAAAGGTTCAGTAGAAGAGCTGGAAAAAGTTCAGAAGACTTAGATGAAAATACACAAAAGCTTTCCTATCCAAGAGTTCCTGTGTGTGTGCGTGTGTGTGTGTGTGTATGTGTGTGTGTGTATTAGTTTTACAATGAGGCAGCTTCTAGGTTTAAGGCTAATAACTCTTGGCAGTTTATCTTGTGTACTAAGATTTTTTAAAAAATAGTAATATATAATCAACTTATACAAACACATCTGGCTAATGCTTTTTTAAAATTTTGTTTTCTTTTTTGTTTGTTACTGGGGATTGAACTCGGGACCTTGTGCTTGCGAGGCAGGTGGCGGAACCACTAAGCTAAATCCCCGGCTTGTTTTGTTTTCTTTTTAAAGACAGAGTTCAGGCCAGCCATGAATTCACTATGTAGTCCAGGCTGGACTCAAACTTGTGATCCTCCTGCCTCAGCCTCCTGAGTGCTAGGATTAAAAGTGTACGTTCACATACCTGGCTAAGGCCAATGATTTGACAGTATCTATAAAGAATGTATCTACAGATAATTACTGTTTTCATAAAAATTTTCCTCCACTTAACAAATACCCCAAACCAATCCTTAAAGAAACTGGAATTACTGCAATTACGTGCAGATATAAAAGAGAGTGGAACTAAAATAGATCTTGTTCTTTTACTCAACAAACACAGGCCTATGCTAACCGTGAGGGTCTACTCAGAAAATTTACAATTTAGCAAATCCTAAAATTCCTGCTTTCAGACAGGAAAGTTATTATTTTCTCCTATTTTATCCAAATGAAGCAACTGATACAGAGTGATGAATGTGCTCAAGGTCACATGAACTAATAAGTGTTCTAGAGCAACAAAAGAAAGCAAATACTAAAATTGTGGTCTTCCATTGCTAATACACTATTTAACCTGCCTGTGTCTGCAAAGAGTTCCTTAACATTACCCTCTGAGCCTATCCACGCACTTCAAAGGGACAGTGTACCTTCATCCTTGAAGCATTAGTCCTGATACAATGAATCAGTCAACTAGCTGCCAAATAAAACATTAGTTCTCCCATTTAAAAATAAAGGGCAAGGGCGAGGGATTTAGCTCAGTGGTTCCGCCGCATACCTCACAAACGCAAGGTCCTGAGTTCAATCCCCGCTACCAAAAACAAAACAAAACAAATAAAAATAAAGGGCAATCGCCTCGTAGGCGCAAGGTCCCAAGTTTGATCCCCAGTACCAAAATAAAAACTAAATAAATAAAAATAAAGGGCAATCTTTATACATCAGTAAAAAAACCAAACCGTACAAAAAGTATATTTTGCCTTTTTAAGTGTTTTCAAATACTAAGATAACATTAAAACTTGGTAAAACTGAAAATACTATACTAATTTTCTTTCTTATTCCCATGTACAACCACTTTAAAAGAAAAATAATAGGAAAATCCAATTCTCTTGATTTACAAAAGTACATGTTAATCGATTAGCATATGGATTATACTTTCCAGGGTGGAAAAAGGCATAATGAAGTCATTAAGAACTAGAACCAACTCTCATCTCCCTGGAAGTTTCCCTAACTTATCTCTTAAACCCTTGCACTCAAACTATAAATACTTCTCCAACTGCACAGAACAAAAAACGTCAACTAACTTACTCAGAAAGCATCCATATAGTACATTTTTAGTTGCTCTTGTTTTATTTTGCTTTCTGGGCCCTTTAAGACTCTGCGGCACCCAGTTAGCTGTCACTATAGCTTGAAAGCAGCCATACACAACACAATTTTTTAAAAAACTGCCTATGTTCTAATAAAGCTTTATTCATGAACAATGAAATCTGACTTTCACCTAAACTCTCTTATGTTACAAATTAGTATTCTTTGAGGGATTTTTTTCAACCATTTAAAAATATTAACATTGTTTTTTAGCTCATGAATCACACAAAATTAGATGGGTGGCTGGATTTAGTAGTATGCAGAATCCTCATGGAAACTCACTTATATACTGAACTATAGGCAGGTGACCATCCCTTTTTTTACCTCAGCAACTGACACATTATCTTTGAACCTAAAATCTGGCAGGAAGTAAATGATTCTTATTCTACTTTTCAGTCACCTTCTTATATCTCAGAAAAGAGAAGAAGTTGTAATTCTAACTTTTGAGCAGTAACTTTGAGAAATTTCAGAAATTGCTAAAATTAAAATACATGTGGATTTCCATTATTTTTTCAGTAACATTTTTACTCCTCATAAGAATGAAAACTATAAGATAAAAGCTAGCATACCTGAGTTCAAAATGAAGACTGGTGACATCTAGTGAAATTCACCAATCTCTAAAGACTGATTTAGGCAGTGCGGAGAATCTTCTGAAGGCATCTTAGAATGTGACAGAATCAGCTTCTGAGCTTCAGCAGCTTCACTGGAAAAAACAACAACTTTGTAAATAAAGGCAGTCGCTAAAATAATGCTAATCAAATTCTAAGTAACATTGAAGCTTTTCTTTTTTAAAAAAAAAATTGAGTATTGCACCCAGGGTTTTCCTATGTGCCACACAAATGCTCTACCACTGGGCTACATCCCCAGCCTTTTAAATTTTTATTTTGAAACAAAGTCTTATTATGCTGCCCAGGCTGCCCTCAAATTTGTGATCCTCCTACCTCAGCCTTCAGAGTAGCTGGGATTATAAGCATCTGCACCCAGCATCCAGTGTGTGCATTCATCCATGTATAGGATATTTATTGGGAGACTCCTATATGTCATGAACTGGCAATCAACATTATCAGATCCTATCAACCCTTAAGGCAGTGGTGGCGAACCTACAGCACGTGTGCTGCAGCAGCCTGTTTACAGCACTGAAAGCTCTAAAAGGTTTGCCATCACTGCCTTAGAAGAACTCAATCTGGAGGGGAACTCCAAAGGAGATGAAAAGCTTGAGTGACCCTAAAAATATGAAGAGAAACCACGATAGAAATACAAACTAGTCTGCTGGGAGTTTGTTAGAAAAGGTTTCCTAAAGGAGGGGCATTTAATGCAAGCGTGAATACAATCTTCTGTTTATGTGATTGATGTATTATATTTATTGATTTGTATATGTTTAAAAATCTCTGCATCCCTGGGATGAATCCTACTTGGTCATGATTTATGATCTTTTTGAGATTTACTGCATTCTGTTTGCCAGAATCTTGTTGAGGATTTTTGCATCTGTGTTCACTAAAGAGATTGGCCTATAGTTCTCCTTTTGGTTTGTTTTTTCTGGTTCTGGAATCAGAGTAATACTAACTTCTAGGAATGACTCTGGGAGTACTCCATCACTTTCAAATTCATTAATTATTTGAGGAGCATTGGTCTTAAATGGTCTCTAAAGTTCTTTTAAAATTTGGTAGTAAATCCATCAGGATATGGGCTTCTCTTAGTTGGTAGGTTTTGCTACTATTCTTCAATTTAACTGCCTATTACTGGATTGTTCAGAGTTTTTATATCTTCTTGATTCAGTTTCAGTAGTTCATATGTACCTAGGAATCTACCCATTTCTTCTGAAATCTCAGTTTTTATTAGAGTATAGGTTCTCCAAGTAGTTACCGATAATTTCTGAATTTTGGCAGTGTCCATTTTGATTGTCATTTTCATTTCTAATTGCATGAATTTGTGTCTTTTCTTTCCTTTTTTTTGGTAAGGCTGGCTAGGGGGTTGTCTGTTTTGTTTACGCTTTCAAGGAACTAGCTCTTGAATTCATTTGAGGCTGATTTTTCTTAACAGTCGAACATATGTACTGGACTATTTACACTGAACTAGCATAAACAGGCCCTTCGTGATACTATGGTATGGTACATGTGAGGGTGGGAGAGGTTAAGAGTACACTTAGGTCTTAGACTTTCAGTGAACCTGTGCTTCTGTACTATGAACCTTCACAAGTACTTTCAAGTTTCTCCTACACCACCTTAGGGAGGACAGCGTGGTTAAGAGTGAGCTGAAGCTAGGTGTTCCCTCTCATGCTCAGAAAGCCAGAGGAAGCTGGAATTGGATGTTTTCCTTTCTTGACACAGAAAGAATTGGCTGGAGTTTGGAATTTTCCTTCCTCAGGTCAACTTCAGTTACAGTTTGGTTAAACAATTTCTCCCATGGTCAGATTCTGTTAAGAAAATGCTCCTCTCATATATTTCAAAATGGTTACTTTTCATCTCCTCCTACCAGAAGCACAAGGAGACCAGAATTCTCTCCAATATTTACTATGACAAACCTGGCTGAATTCCTGGTAAAACTTTCCTAAGTGTAGGGATCACCTCATGACTGGCTCCCTGGTTTGTCCCTGAGACTTGTCCACAGTAAGCCTCTGGCAACTCTCAATGACTGCCTAGGTTATCCTACCTTGTCATTGATCCCCACAGGGGTTTGTACTTTGATAGGTTGTGATTCTCTATTTGGTTTTCTATCTCTCCAACTGTAGAAACACAGCAGTTTCTCATGTGACTTTAGTGTTCTTAGGGTTCTAACAAGATCACTTGAGTTTTTAGTTTGTTCAGTTCATTGTTGTTGGGGATGGGCTCCTTACATGCCTGACTAGAAACCAGAAACTGGACATTTCTCTTTTAACCAGCAGTTTTATTAAAGATGGTGTTGAGGAAATTACGTTCCTCTTTCAATTCATTCTCTATGATCAGTTAGACATGTCCTGTAATGAGAAAAATATGTATCAAATTTCTGCTCTCATTCAGTTTTTGTTTTGTCTTGTTTTGAGACAAGTCACTATACAGTTCAAACTTGCAGCGATTCTCCTGCCTCTCTGTGTACTCAGATTATGGGCATGTACCACCATACCTGGCTCTCATTCCATTTTAGTCATTAAAGTATGAGGATTGTTTCAGTTGGCAATTACATTTTTGTAATATATCCTAAGATGTGTTTTGAATGTAGAAGGAACCACAACCACATGGGACAAAATGTGATAGAACAGAAGAAAATAAAAAACTGAGAGGAGTGGGTCATAAATAAAAAAAATACACACACCTGTTAAAGGAGAAAGAAAAAGAAAAAACTGCTCTAATGAATATAGGAAGACTGGAAAAGACTCTTTAAGAGAGCAGAGAAAAGAAGCACACAGAAATGCATAATGATGAAAGCTTTTAAAGGGCGTAAAAGTTATGAAAATAATAGATGAAAACTACACTGCAGAGAGTTGAAATCTATAACCTGATGATAAAAGATTAAATCTTAATCCAAGAGTCTTCACACTGGGGTCCAGATGGTTTTAAGGGAATCAATGTCCAGATCCTTAATTTCCATAGTTACTGGCCAGTTACTAGAATATCAAGGTCATCATGTTGGTTCTTCCCTAAACCCTAGTTTATATTCCTCCTTCAGCTTCACAAGAAAAAGACAGAACCCTTTCACAAATCTAAAATTTTATTATAGTGCATTTTCCTAAATTTTTCATCATTCAGAACACCAATCAAAGGAATACTTTCAAACACTTCAATTGAGGTATCATACATTCAAAGTAAAGTCTTAATTTTCCTTGTTCCACACACTATTAAGGGCAATACCCAACAATAAAATGTAGGTACTGGCCTAGTACATCAGAACTTCGGAAAGCAAGAATTAGAAAAAAATCTTACATTGACAAACTCATCTGGGAAGAATCTAATGAAAATATAAGATGATGATGATAATAAATACTAGCGGTAACTACTTCTTAGTTCATTCAGGTAAAAAGCTTATGGCCAGACTCTTAAATAATTTATCTTTATAATTACTGTATTTACAAGTCAAGACCTGAAAAGCATCTCGAATTTGAATTTAAGATGTATGCTTTCACCATTTTCAGAAAAATAAAATCAAATGTGTTCTATTAGTCACTTTTGTCTTGTGTCTGTAACTTGGGGATTTTTGTATGATATGAAGGACGTAAAAAGAACTGTTATTTGTATCAAATCAACGTCATATCTTTAAATAAAAGTAACATACATCAAAGTCAGTGCTTTTTTGAACATTTCTTTCTTTCTTTTTTTTTTTTGTACTGGGGATCAAACTTGGGATCTTGCGCTTGTGACGCAGGCAGCAGAACCACTGAGCTAAATCCCTGGCCCTGAACATTTCTAAGAAATATTTTCATTAGTAAATCTATATTGTTTTTTACCCAGAGTACAAGTTATGATGTACCATCACTCTTTTCTCCTCTCACGTTTTCATTCTTATACAGATTTGATATAGATTAATATAATAGGTATATACTTTAAATTCTACTATAATCAATATATTTAACAAAAATTAATCTTTTGTGAACCCCACATTTATTAATGATGCAATACCATTTACAATCACTCAAAACACCAAATATTTAGTTATAAGTCTAATAAAACATCCACAGGACAGATTTCCATGTTGGAAGCTTTTACAAAACGAATGGAAAAAAGAATCTAAATAGTATGCAAATTTAATATAACACCTATCAAGATTCCAAGATATTTTTTAGATATAGAAAACATTGTTCTAAAATTTATATGGAAAGGCAAAGGGACAGACATGTGGATCAGTCAAATAGAATAGGCCTAACATTAAATTGAAAAGTTTTTGTGGAAGTGCAAAAGCAATTCAATGGAGACAGGACAGTCTGTCTCCTCAACAAATGGTGTTGAAGCAAATGATATAAGCAAATAAAGGAATCTTGACCCAAGGAACCCTGATCTGACTTCAAGCCCTATACAAATATTAACTCAAAATACGATATAGCTTTAAATGCAGAACATTAAACTGTACAACTTCTAGAAAAAAAGATGAAAATCTTAGGACCTCACGAACATAGTGAAAAGTTCTTAGGCATGATTCCAAAAATGCAATGCACAAAAGAACAAAAATTAGCAAATTAGACCTCACCAAAATTTAGAACTTTTGCTCTATGAAAGTTTCAGTTAAGAGGATGAAAGGTCAAGGTTCAGACTGGGAGAAAGTACTTGCAAAGCATGTATCTGACAAAAAAAGATTCATACATAGAATATATTAAGGACCCTCAAAGCTCAATAATAACAAACCAAACAGTCCAATTAAAAAGGGAGCAAAAGACATGAAACATTTTACAAGAAGAGATTACAAGGATGTCATACAAGCACATGAAAAGATGCTCAGCTTCAACAATTACTAGGGAAGTGCATGGTAAGACTACATGGACTATTACTGTTACACACCTACTAGAGAAGAAAAATAAAAAATAGTGACATACTAAATGTTAATAAGGATGTAAAGAAACTGGATCTCTCATTCACTGCTGGGAATGTAAAGTGGTTCAGTCATTCTAGAAAATAATTTGACAGTTTCTTAAAAATCTAAATATATACTTACCAGGCAACCCAACAATTATACTTCTGGCATTTATCTCAAAGCAATGAAAACTAGATCTAAACAACAATTTGTCTACAGTAACTTAGT